GCTTGTAAGATACCGAGCACTTGGAACAAAGCCAGCATATTTGTCAATATCATTGAAGTCACCAAATGGCATAAAAACTGGGCTTTTTTCTATTGTAACAGCAATACAATATGCGCAGGGAGAGATGCCAGATACTTACTTGAGTGTATTGAGAGATAAAAGAGCTTATGGAAAGCTAGAGTGTTTGTAGAGAGCTTGAGAGGAGCAAGTGATAAAAGACTTGGATTGTGTCTGTCTGTCTAGCAGAAACAGGACAGTATTTATACTACACTAGAAGTACTACATGTGATATTCTACAATGAGTAAGACTATCCAGAGTATGTACCAGAGTAAAGAAGCTGATAGTATCTAGGATACTTGTATATACATCAGAAGTTCTATCAGAAGTAACTAAACACATGAAAGTACATTAATCACATGAAGTATATGTAAAAGCATAGATTTTCAACATTTTTTTCAAGAAATGCTCTGATATCATGAGAAGAGCCAGGCTTATTTAGTGCAGTAGCAATAAATTTCTCCCTATTGCACACATATTCAAAAATTGTTTCAGCATATTGTGCAAGAAGGATGTTGAACCAGTGGGTATGAAGCTCAAATAATAGAGACCGTACACCATTTGGGCTCATCTTGTGCTGATTGCATACCCGAAGCTGAGCAATGAGACGATTGGATAAACCACTTTTGTATGAAAGTGTAGCAGGAAATGAGAGCTGAACATGACGGGGAAGTGTCTTGATAAAATTCTGGCTCCAGCCACGATAAGTTCTGTTGCAGCCTTTGCGACACCCATATTTCCAAGTGACAAGATAGAAGCTATCTTCCAGATCTACAATTTTTCTTGGTGGTAAAGCACCCTCTTTTCCAAGCTTGTTATTGCATTCTGGACACCGCAACTCATCCACTAGAAAATGTGGCAACCACAAAAATACTTGTGGAATGTATAGAGTAGTTGGATCAAATTTCTGGCCAAATTTATGAGAAAGTGAAAATGCTGGGTCTGGTGGGTGGATCCAAGAAGAAAATGGTGGTTGAGAGTATGAAGGCAGAGGTTCAAGGTTCCTGCCTTTCTTCTCAGTGATCAAAGGCTCTATTTTGTCTCTGAAGTAGATATAGAGCCACATGAGCATCTTTTTTGGTTTCTTGAACCATGCTAAAATCAAAGTGAATCAATTCTGTTACGAAAATTTTGGAAATTATTTACCCTCATGTGACAGATTATCCACAGGCTCTGGTACCAAATCTTCATTCTCTGATTGAGCTTCATCTTCAGTCTCACTCTCATGATCCAGCTCAAAATCAATAGTAGGTGCTTTTGTGAAAATATGGCTCTGTATTGTAAGTGTTATTAGCCTTTAATATTTTGGGAAGAAGCATAAATTTCACTGTAAGTAGAGAGATTTGCAGCTTTGTGCAATTGCTCAATTGGAATTGGGCCTAAATACACAGTAGATAAAGCTTGTTTGTTGGCAAGGAATGCAATAATTTACTTACCTTTTTCTTGATCAGGCATTGATTGTGTTCTACTACTTATTGGTCTAGCATTCATGGATGATGCTTCTTGAACAAGAGGAATTTGGCTTTTGTCAAGAAATAATGTTCCTACCTTGTTCAGCATTAGTTGAATTGAGACCAGAATTGATGTTTGAACTTGAAAAAGTGGCAGTTTGAGTGCTGAGGCCTAATAAAAAGAAATTTAGAGAATCATCATACATCCTGGGTAATATAAAAATATTTGATGCATTACCTCCAAGCTGCTGCTCAATTTGATCAATCTCATTCCACCCACTTTCATCAAAGTCATAATCATTTAGCTCATCATCAGCTTCATCTCCTAGATTCAATATTAATTATGGGTGAAAGAGGTAGAAATAAACACTACCTGGCTGTTCTTTCCTGGGTCTACCACGAGGTGGAGCATCAGGAGGCCTTGGTACGACCTAATGGACGGCCTGCAGGCGTACTATAGCATGGTTTATGTTTAAACTTTCTCATATTAGATGAGTTTCCCGGTTCAAACTTTGACCTCTTGGTTCAAACTTTGACCTCTTGGTTTGAACTTTGATCTCTTGGTTTCAGCTTTGACCTCTTGGTTTGAGCTTTGACCTCTTGGTTTGAGATTTGACCTCTTGGTTTGAGCTTTGACTTCTTGGTCTAAGCTTTGACCACTTTGACTTCTGTGGTTCAAACCTTTTACTAACCCCCTGTTCTTTTTACAATGATTGTTTGCCTCTGGCATCCCACATGTCATGACTGTCGGCATGCATCACGCTTTGATGTGGATGCCGACGTCTTGCCGTCATCAAGGTCCTTTCTTTTTATACCTTTATCTGCGACTGTAGTCGCTGTGATGGTCTCGATGACTCGGGACCTGCATTATTCCTATCCTTATCGTTGTCCGCTGTCACTATGGTCACTGCCATGACTGAAAGCAGCTACTTTCGGTGTTGCCACCAAAAAATCTTGACACGTTCTCAGTTCTCTTCCTATCACTCTCTCCGTCATCGTACTTCCGTCATTAAAGTTCATTAATTTGCATTCGTCCATTCCGTTGTGACAGAATCAGACGCCTCTCCCATTCTGTCGTGGTGTAGATTCTGCCGGTATGTTTGTCAATCCCAACACACGATTTGCGGATGGTTTCAAGTATGGATTTGGAACCGAAGTTGGAATCAGCACAGGATATACCTGTTGGATTAGAAGGACTCATACAAATATATGAATATATGATGAAGAGACAAAGTTCTTCGGGACATGTTAGGGAGTTTAGCACGGATAAAATTTTTGAGGTAAACAGTATATACACAGGGTATCGTTCTAAAAGTACAGCATATGATACAGAACACAGCAAAGCGAGATGTGAAGTAAAACATTAAAAAAAGTAGAAACCCAAGAAATCGTGCAAGGTAGTTCAAGTTTTACGAGGCAGAACCAATGATTTTTCGATTGCTGTTCCAGAGCTCAGTTACTGCGAGACATAAATGCTTTCAGAACGACAGAAAGTAAGAAAGTTGGACAACCAAAAGGCCTTACAGATTTAGAGGATTGATATGTGATTTTCATCGTTGAAGTAGAGCGCGTCGCGATGACTTCCGACCCACGAGACAAGGTCCGTCTCTCTGTATAAGAAGAGTTCATGCCGCAAATCCGGACGACAATGAACGGTAGCAACCATAAGCCCGTCAGCGCGATACCCTCGGATGGTCCACCTGAGCGGATGCCCATGAATACCAGTCCTAAGGTCAAACTCCATTAACGCGTCTCCTTCGCATCGTAAGACAGCTTACATGACACTCAGGTGCACTACTCCGGCCCTTTGCAAATCGACGCTGTAGTCATACCACACGCAGTCGAGCACGACCGAAAAAACGTCTCGTTCCTGAGTAGGCGTGAGTTGGTGGGCCCAATAATTCGGTTTAGATACGTTCATTGGAACGGTAAGACGAAGGAAGATGGTACTGAGCTTAGTATAGAGACCAAGAGCAAAACCAGAAACGACACCTCAGGCAACCCCCTGGGTAGACCTACTTAGGCTGCTTAGATGGGGACAGTTTTCTGGCCTAAGAGGGGTCAAATACCAGGGGCTGTCCCAGTGCTCTGGTAGTACCCAGGCAGCTCTGGTAGCTCCCTGGTATTGGCCAGGGACTGTTTTTTTCACTGTTTTTTCTGTAGTTGGTAGCACCCAGGTACTCTTAGGTACTACCCAGGGAGCTCCCTGATCTGTCACTCTGTCACAGGGTGTCAGGAGTCCATTTTCTCAGAATTTTGCCATTATGCACTTATAAATACAGATATGACCTCAGCTCTTGCATTATAACTAACTGTATTTATTCTACACTGTATTTATTCCAGCATTTAAGCTATATTTTTTGTACCTATTATTTCATCTTCATTTTGTTTAAAGGCATTCAAACACAGTCAGAATGTTGTCTATTTTCTATAATAATAATGATACTGCAATTTTGAAATCATATTATATTAACTCTAATCAACAGAAACACCTCAGCTGTGAGATAAACTCACTCACACTGAGATGTTACTATACTAGAATAATGGGTATTTATACAACATGCTCTCCTTTAAGCTGGCTTTGTGATAATAAATAGGCTCAGTGTTAGAATCGCTCCATGAATTGATTAGAATGACATGACTCATAGAGTTGGCACCTTTTACTGACTAGCCTGGTGTTAGTATTTTTTGGTGTTTACCACTCCCTGATGCTTAAATGGTTATTGTGAACACCAGGTACCTCCATGTGAGATGGTTATTCCTCATTCTCTTTTCTTTCTCACTTACAATACCCCCTGCATGAATATGGCATGTTCCAGACTCTGTGATAACCCCCATAAGTGTTTACATTTTACAGTGGTTTTCCACCTGTATATAAAAACATTCAAGTTACTTTAATTTACTTTAATTCAAACTTCAATTACTGACTATATGGGGGAAAAATTCAAAATAAATTATGCCTCTGGTACAGTAGTTGTGATTACACCCTGGAACATCTGGTAGCACCCAGTTACCACCTGGGTGCTACCAGTGATTAACAGGATATCTGTGGTAGCACCCAGGGAGTAACTGGGTGCTACCAGTGATCAACAGGAAATCTGTGGTAGCACCCAGGGAGTCACTGGGTGCTACCAGTGATCAACAGGAAATCTGTGGTAGCACCCAGGGAGTCACTGGGTGCTACCAGTGATCAACAGGAAATCTGTGGTAGCACCCAGGGAGTCACTGGGTGCTACCAGTGATCAACAGGAAATCTGTGGTAGCACCCATGACTCCCTGGGTGCTACCAGTGATCAGCAGGATATCTGTGGTAGCACCCAGTGACTCCCTGGGTGCTACCAGTGATCAACAGGATATCTGTGGTAGCACCCAGTGACTCCCTGGGTGCTACCAGTGAGCTACTGAAAGGCATCACTCCAATATAACGTGTAGTGAAATCATTTCTGTCTGTGAATATCCAATAAAAAGATGAAATAAATCTACATATCATATGGCACATGCTGGAATTGAACCAGCACCTGTAAGTTGTAGTCCCTCAAAAGACCAGTCACTGCCGTGCATACCACTGTGCTAATGTGCCTTACAAAATTCCAAAGCATGTTCCATCCTACGAAATCTTAGTCTATGAATAAGAGTTTGTAATATTCACTTGTAGAGAGCCCGCTCAATCAATGGAAGCTCCCAGGAGATACCTAGGTAGTCCTCAGAACAAATATTTCTTTAAGCAACACCTCAACGGTGCAGTTTGTCATTCAAGGGATAAGTTAACATACAGGAAGTACCCTACAAAAATAACTATTCAAGTTCTATCCCTCCTTTGACGCAAGGTCAGTTTCTCGTGCCTCCCCCCTCACCCTCTTCCTCCTCCACTTTTCAGCAGTTGTCATAGGCCTTCCATTATTTTGGTGCGTTTTGGAACGTTTCTGAGGTCGCATCGTGGCCTCTCGATCGTCTCGTGGTCGCTTAGGTACTGGATTACCCATTACAGGTCTAGGGGAGATGTCAACATCTTCTCGAGACAAACGGCTGGGGCCTGGAGCGCGTTCACGTCCATGTTCACAGGGTGGGTTATTAGGAACTTGACAAGGTTGTTCTAGAGCCAAACGGCTGGGGCCTGCCATTGGAGTGCGTTCACGTTCACGGGGTGCATTATTGGAAACTTGACGAGGCTGTGAGCGAATGGGGAGACGAGGAATAGAAGTCAATTGGGAGGACTGGTATCCTCCATTGTAGGCTGGTTGCATGGAAGCTCGTTCTATGTCATCGTGTTCGGTGGGACTGCTGGCAAGATGACGACTCTGAGACTGAGCCGCCAGAAACAGGTTGGGAACACCTCTGTCTGGGCGTACTGGTGAAGAGAAGGGGCTAGGATCAGGTTCCCGGCGTAAATTGTCGTCCTCAGCCTCCGAGAAACAATAATCTTGCCAGTATTGGGGAGGTTCAAACTCGAGATGTGGTGGAGAGGCAGGGGGGGAGGGGGTTGTTGGATTTTGCTCGCTGGCTACAGGTGTCTTGGACTTGAGATTCACCTTCGATTTCTGTTTCGATTTTTGTTTCGACTGAGCATTCGTCTTTGTGCTGGTAGAGATTCCAACCTCGGTATCATCTTGACCTTGCTCTGATCGCCAGTCTGTTGAGTGAAGGACAGAAGTCAATGTGTGACCATCTACGCAAGTGACAAGCACTACGTCTTTCTGTTGGTCGGGAGGAAGAGCTTTGTCCTCTAAGTGTTGCGTCAGTCAGTGCAAGGTAATCAAGATGAATAAGAACTAACTGTCACTCCATGAGACTACTCGCAACGCTAACTTCTGAATGTGGTCGGGAATGCTGGGGTTTTCCTCCTTCCTAGCCCAACCTTCCCTCAACAACGTCAACTCTTGGATTCGAGCAAGAGTCAGTTGACTTGGACCTCCTGCCTTAGGAACAGCGTGATTAACCCGGGTTAGACCTGATCCTGGCGCTGGTATGCCTTCAGGCCAGTTCTTGATGCAAATTTGGTTTCGGTAAGCGTAATTTGCGAAACTCTTCCATTTGAACTTTTTAGCTTTGATACCGAGTGTACCTGCATAAGCAATGCTCATCAGCAAAAGAAGGATAGAGAGGAGATGGTCTTACCAATATCGTATAGCAATATCTGCGGAACGAGCGCTTGTTCACGCTCACGGTCAGTACCGACCTCAGATGCCTTTAGGGCTAGATTTTGTAGTTCATCACTAACGGCAGCGCCGATTTCCGCATTGATACGTTCATGGCGAACAAGGGTGGTGACATCTTGAAGTTGTCGAGTGATTTGAGTCGGATGTTCAGTTTTGAGGGCCTTGAACTCCTTTCCCCAACCAGCTATCATGCTATGTTCACCGAGGGGATCGATAACAAAGGAAAACACCAAGACACCTCGGTTTAACATCGCTTGTTTAGCCTATAAGCTAATCAGAAGACGTATTCCGGGAAGAGAGACGTTGTACTCACTACGTCGCTGACCACTCCCGCCACCTTCTTCACGTCTGCCTTTGTCGGTCCCCTCATCATTTTCGGATCACTACTGTAGCGTTCTGAGAACCAGGCCCTCAGCCAGGTATACTCCTCTTCGACTTTCTTGGAGTCGTTCCAAGCTTCACCTAGTGTTTCTTTTCGATGATCGCGCCATTTTTCACTGAAAAAGGTACCAGGGTTTACTAGTTGGACGACAAGTCAGAGATTTGATAAAAGATATGCAAGGGAATGCACGTACCATCTTTTGGAAGCTGGCCATTGTGACCGGTTTCAGCTACCCACCATTTCTCAAAGATGTTAAAAAGGTTGGGATCTCTTGAAGCCAGAGTGACCTCGCCAGCTATTTGGTAGGCATGATGCACTGATTGTTTGAAACGAGAGGCAATATCTTGCATCTTGCTCTCGTATTGAGCTCGGAGACGCAAGACTTCAGCCCGCATCGCTGTAGGAACCCTCCCAGTAGGTGAATCATCGTCCTCATCCTCGTCATCCCCAATGGAAGCGCTAGGAGATCCGTTCTGGACCTTCTTGCCCTTCTCGTTCGTGGTAATGGTTGTTGTAGCTTGACCCTTACCATTTGCCTGGGCCTTCGGAACAGTGAAGCTGACTTTCTTGTTTGCCTTCTTCCGCTCCTTGCCAGGTCGCATACGTCGAGCAACCAAAGCAGGGTCCTCCTCCTCATCTTTGTCTTTGTCTTCATCTTCGTCCTCGTCCTCGTTTTCATTCTCTGAGTCGTCTTCATTGTCTGCCTCATCACTGGCAGAGGATTCGTGGGAGCCCTGTCGTTCCTTCGCCCTAATCTTCTTCGTGCGACGAAGTTTCGCCATCCTCTTCTTTTGCTCTGCCTCTTGATCCGCCCCGTAGTCAGAAGACCCATCTGAAGCATAGTCCACCAACGGGTCATTGGGGTCAGTGGACATGGGTGCATAATTGACGGACTTTTTGATGCGTTGAGGGCAGACAAGTGAAGGGATCAGCATCTCCAAACGTCTTTGGCATTGGCTATCATCGGGATCTTGGGGCGTTGCTGCATTGATGGCATCTCTCCATTTCTGGGTGAAGTGTGCCTGGAGGATAGTTTCCAATCTTGACGATATAGCTGGAATCGACATGGAGGGGGAAGCTGAATATTCGCGGAGAGCAGTTACAGCTTGCTCAGCTTGGGAAGTGGACAGAGGTGGCGGAGGCGCTGCAGTAGTAACAGACTGTTGCAGCGTCCCTGTACCTGAAGGAGGGTCTGGCACGCATCCACCCCATTCGGACTCATCGTTGCTTTCCTCAGCACAATCTGCTGCAGGGGGAAAAGGTGGACGAGGCTGAAGTGGTTCAGTCTCTTGAACAACAGTATTGTTCGTTGGAGGGTCAGTTATAAGAGACCGCATCAGAGAAAGGGGTGGAATACGACTCTGGGATTTGCTGGGGTGATGACGATGCTTGCCGCTGGTATCGTTATGAACAATGCCCTGCTTCTCCAAAGCCTGGAGCAGTCGAGACTGATAATGTTGAGTTGTTGGGCTGGGAGGTGAATCAGAGGAGTCTTTCAAGGCATGATCCTCGGTGAAATAGGGTTCATCGAGGGCCTGTTGCTCAGGCTCGTCATCTACAGGTTCGGCGAAGGATGGAGCATCTGAAGTTCGTTTCTGCGAGGCAATTTCCTCAGCCTCAGCGTCTAAATCGGCCATGGATACATCAAGCATCTCAAGATTTTCGAATTGATCAGGGAGAAGAGTATCAGGTTCTACATCAGGAGGAGGATCAAGAGACGGGTGGGGCGTTGGGGATCGAGCTATGGTATTGCTTTCTCGAGGTGTGTTGATTGCAGTCGCTGTTACTAGGACTGAACCATCAATACAAACCGGGATTTAGAGGTTGAAAGTCATACCTGGTGCATCCAAATCATCATTTCCCTCGGAAGCCGCGTTGGGAACCACTGAAGATGCAGAAGGTTCTGGATCTGGGTGGGGATGTTCACTCTCAATCGTGTTTTGGAGTTCAGAACGGTTCGTTGTCTTCTTCCCCCCTGCTCGTCTGGGTCTGGGAGGCTCGGCGTTCAAGGGAGGGTATAGATCGCTGTCTTTAGTACGTGATCGCGTCGCACGAACGGTGGGCTGAGTTGAAGACTGGCGGGTCATATTGAATTTGGTGGATTCGTTAGAGAAAGGTGGTGTTGGTTGATTAAAAGTGAAATTTCCCATTGTACTCAGGTGACATTTGAGCTTGTCATCTCTGACCACCGAATTAGGAATCAGCTCCGCATTGTTCGAGACTTGTAGACTTGAAAAGAGAGAACTCACGGTTGTGTTCTGTGATCCCTTGTTGCCTCCTGTCACTATGAATGCCCCCACCTTCCAAGCTTCTGACTATCCTTCCGCCGAAATCTTAGCGCAAAACCCCTGTAGGCTGCGTGACGGTATCCCTATATACGTCAGCACGCAACTCGACTACAAGTCTCGTCGAATGGTATATTATGCCATTCAGCACCTCCCACGCCTCCGTCAAATTCATCTCTGCCCACAGTGGCGTCGCTCTCGTCAGTTGTATCATATTGTAAGGATTGACATTCCTTGGTGGTTTGACATCGAGGTGGAATGTGACTGGTGTCAGGCCCGTCGCAGATATGACGGATTCACTGAATCTGAAAGACGTCAATTGCGCCGTGCGTCGCCTGAATATCTGGCTAGGTTTGAGGGAAGATTCAATACGTTTATTTGATTTCTCAACATTGATAGAAGCTCACCTGAGACACAGACGCTCAACGCACACCGTCTCCACCACCACCTCAGGCGGGGTCTGGAGGGGTTTCTCGTCTTCCGCGGACTCATCATCGTGCTCCTCCTCCTTATTCTCTTTCTCAACGTGAAGCTATACCACCCCAGCCATCTGTGGCGCCTACTCCAGCTCGTCACGAACCGCCGCCTCCGTACACTCCTCCTGTCCTTCAAATCGCCGGGTTTACGGGGACTGGGACTATTCAAAACCCGATCGAGCTTGACTCCGTATCAGGTGAAGGTACTAATAACGATCCCATTGACTTGTCAGAACTGTAGAACCCTTGTTGCACACGTGAATTGAATTACCATTTTGGGA